ACCCTCCCAAACCCCCGTGCTAATGGTCAGGGTTGACCAGAGAGCAAGGATTCCACGCTGACTGCCAGGTTTCTTTTGCCTTGAAGTTTGCACTTCTCAACCGTGACTCTCTGCCCAGAGCTGAGGAAGGGGCTGGGTGGTCTGCCCTCAGAAGCGCCTGGCACCCAGCGCCCGGGTCTTAGGATGGGATGTTCTCCCCGTGCCCCCCTGAGCTCTTCCTGCAGCTACTTAGGTAAAGAAACAGGACACAGGCTCCACAGGGCACCACGTTGGGTGCCCAGATTTAAGACACAACCTCCAGACACTGCACAGTGAAGTGAAAAAATGCTTTTGTACACTCTAGGTGGGAGCAGATGACACACTCTTTCTGAGTGCAGTTTGACAGATCTCTTTTTAGTAGAAGTTTGAATAGCCCTGCTGCAGTGGGTTGCACCAACTAAGGGACTTAAGCATCTGGGATTTTGGTATCGGAGGCGGGTCCTGGAACCAATCCCCACACCCGGATACTGAGGGATGACTGTAGTACTTCTACGTAGTAGGAAGCCACATACCAAGATAGGACAGAGTGAAGATGCAAAGTTGCAAAAGAATTTGGATACGAACCAATTTTGGGAATCAAAGACAGAAGGAAGGAGAGTGGGTGTGTGTAAGTAACTCATGGAACAGTCTGGACCAATACTTGCCAAAGTTTAATGACTCCTGGGGATGGGTTGGAGGGACTTGTACATTGGCTTTTAAACTTGTGTTGCAATGAGCATGTGTTTTGTAACTCTTGGGAGGCAGAGGCCCCATACCCAAAGGCAGAACTGCAATTTACCCTTCAGAATCAGGGGTCAGAGTCTCTGGGTATTTCCTTCCATCTAGGGCAAATATCCACGCATATTTCTGGAGGCCTCAGAAACTGCCCAGGAGTGGCTCAGCTGTGCCCCAGCGGGGACCTCAGCCCTCTCAAGGTCAGCCAGACCGGAGCTGTCCAGATGTAGGAGCTCGGAGGGGCCACTCATCTCGGGAGTAGCCCCGGCATTTGGCAAGTGAGGCTTGTGAATTGCAGGTACAAGTTGAGAGGGTGACCACACAACCTGCAGAGGGCCAAGGGGGATGTAGAAAAGCTGTGGGTAAACCCAAGAACCACCCCAAAAGTCAGCCTCACCATGCCTTGGGAACAGAGGGCCTCCTTGACCCCAGTTAGAGCCACACATGTTCCCAGAATTATGGATTTTGACCCCAAGAGCTGTTAAAAAAAACTCTTTTCCTTGTTGTTAAATTATCATATGAGTACATGTCTACTAGAAAAATTAGGAAAAAACCCCTATATTTCCAACACCATTTAAGGTTTTGGTGTACAGCGTTTTAAATAGCCTTTAGTAATAGACCATCTTGCAACCTGACCTTGTGCTGTAACAACCAGGGAACTTTTTTCCATGCTAAGCTCATTTTTTTCTTTTTTTGTGAGGAAGATCAGCCCTGAGCTAACATCCGTGCTAATCCTCCTCTTTTTGCTGAGGAAGACCAGCTCTGAGCTAACATCCATTGCCTAATCCTCCTCCTTTTTTTCTTCCCCAAAGCCCCAGTAGATAGTTGTATGTCATAGCTGCACATCCTTCTAGTTGCTGTATGTGGGACACGGCCTCAGCATGGCCGGAGAAGAGGTGCGTTGGTGCGCGCCCAGGATCCGAACCCAGGCCGCCAGTAGCGGAGCTCACGCACTTAACCGCTAAGCCACGGGGCCGGCCCCAAGCTCATTTTTTTTAACAGTTGCAGAGTATTTGTCTGATCTTTTTATTGAGAGCCACTTAGGTGTTTGCGGTATTTTGCAACTGTATACAGCAAACTACAATGGAAATTCTTGCATCTGCATGTTTACGCAGCCATCTGTATACGTCCTGGGATAAATTCTTACAAGTAGATTCTGGGTCAACATGTAGGTCTACCTGGCCTCTAGAACCATCCTCACACCAAGAGAGCAGCTGCCCCTGCCCCCCCGCCACTGATTCTGAGTTTTATCATTCTTTTTCATCCGAAGTCCAACTGGGGGCATGTCCGTGTATTTCAGTGTCTACCACTCCTTAGAAGAACGAATTTCCACAACAGACCCCCGCTCTTCCGATAAAGTTCCAACTCCATGTTTCTACGTGTATATTAGAATGGTACCTGGCACAGCCCTCGGGAAGATTAGCTGTCACCATCATCATCTTCTGAATTTTACTCCAGAGCCCGCCTCGTGTGGAGTTACCGCAGACACCTCTCTGTCCGTCCCCGTAGGTCTGTGTTAGCAGAGAACAGCTTGATCCACCTTCCTTATCTTGTCATCCTCCTCATCTGTGACTTGGGCATGATAATGCCAACTCTCCAGGGTCGGAGTGAGAATTCAGTAAGATAATGGGCGCTTGGAAATTGGCAGGATGCTCGGTACATAGTCTCTGTCTGTGACACATTGCATCATCCAATGATGGCCTCAACAATATCTCACGTTCTTCTAACGTCTTGCCTCTTCTCCCCCATCGAGAGGTGGAGCCTGACTCCCCTCCCCTCGAAAGGCAGTGGGCTTGTGACCCACTGTAACCAGTAGAATGCACTGGGAGTGAAGTCGCGTGCCTTCCCAGGCAGGGTTGGAAAAGGCAGTACCACCTCTGCTTTGTTTGCTGGACCCCTGGCTGGTGCCCTGTACCTCCTCTGGCTGCCCCGAGGCCACCGTACTGTGAGGAAGCCCAGGCTGGCCCGTGCCGCTCCAGCACACCCACAAGCCATAGCTACCTCGCCCAGCTCTCCCCAAATTCCTGACCTACAGCAACAGAGATGGTGGAAAGACTGTTGTTATTTTCAGCCACTAAGTTGAGGGGTGATCAGTTACACAGCGAACAGCCAGAGCACTCTAGTTGGATGCTGTCGGTGCATCGGTGCATCTCCATAGACCTCTGCTGGTCTGAACCTTACCATGATGCCCTGCGTGAGCCCAGCGGGGCCCTCCTGAGGCCTGGATGGTGCTGCTGGTAGTATTGGCAATAGCTGACTCTCTTAGGTGAACCATGATGGGGGGCAGGTGGGCCTCTGAGCACTCGGCCCCGTGACCTCATTTACCCAACAAAGTGACTGACGCGGTTATTTTGCAGATGAAGACACGGAGGCCTAGCAAGTGTCAATAGCTGCTCAAGGTCACACAGTCTTTTTGGTTTTTGGTTTTTTTGTGTGTGAGGAAGATCAGCCCTGAGCTAACATCTATTGCCAATGCTCCTCCTTTTTTTTTTACCTTTTTCTCCCCAAGGCCCCAGTAGATAGTTGTATGTCATAGTTGCACATCCTGCTAGTTGCTGTATGTGGGACGCCGCCTCAGTGTGGCCAGACAAGTGGTGGGTCGGTGCGCGCCCGGGATCCGAACCTGGGCTGCCAATAGCGGAGCGTATGCACTTAACCGCTAAGCCACGGGGCCGGCCCCAAGGTCACACAGTTTGAATTCCAAATGGGGACATGTTGGCCACTTGTCCTGCTCAGAACTTGCAGCCTTGATGGTGACCATTGGGCCTCCTGGGCATTCACCGTGCCAGCCCCCCACCCTCCCTGCCATGGTCCTGGGTCTCTAGTGCATCCCCACCTTACTGAACCCTCAAGATACCAGAAAGCTGCCACGGGGCTGAAGTCATCTGTTGTGTCGGTCCCAGCCTGTCGATAGTGAGTGTCTCAGCTAGGAATGCCCGAGGCACTCATCCTGGCCTGTATTACTGTAGGGAGTCCCCACAGACTTCCCCCACAGGGGCCAGTGTGGTGGCTGGACCAATCCCTGTGGTTCTTATGATCTCAGGATGCACTTCAGTGAAAACCATCAGGGAACTTTGAGGAACAAAGCTTATTACTCACAGATCCTCAAGGGTGTGGGGCAGGCCTGGGGCCACACCGCGAGGTCATGGGTGGAGAAGGAAGGAGGGGAGGAAGCAGTGCAGACCTGGGGCTCTGCCTTCCTTAGGATATGAGAGTGGGGTGTCTGGGGTTTCATGGTTCCACTCTTTATTGGTGAATTTAAAGCATAAGAACGGGAATTAGGAAACAGCAAGGGCGAAGTAGGGTCACTCAGAGGTCGGTTATCTAGGTCAGAGCTTTCTGAATGAGAGCCCTTCCTGGACAGGGGCCACCTAATTCCTTCCCTGGTTGTTTGGCTGGTAGCTGTGTCACGCGGCTGGCTGCCAGTATGTTTATTCAAAATGAACGTCTCCTGAAATGTATGCTTAATGTCAGGTCCTTACACTACATCAAACCCTCAGGAGCAACGTCTCTTTAGCTTTGGCTGCGAAACTCAAAAACCAGTCCAGGGAGCTGCCCAGGGTGCCAGAAAGCCCCACCCATCTCCCTGGCTCTTCTTCCCCGGGTGTGGGACACTAAACCTCCTTTTTCCGGCTTTAACAACAACTGCAAAACCTCACGTGCATAAGCTTTCATGGCCCAGGACACTCAGGAAGGTCCCTGAGTCCAGCGAGTCTGCAGAGAGCCAGGCTCTGAGCCCAGATGACTCTCAATGCTGCTCTGTGTTCCTAGGGTCTCACTGGCTCTTAGAATGTGCCCACGGGAAGGTACAAATCCCACAGGGGCCTGATTCGGGCAGATGGCACAAAGAAGCTTCTGGAAATGTTTGGGGTGCATATGCAGCTGCTGGGTGTGAGTCTACAAGGAAAACACGTTTTGGTTCATTGCTGCGTACGAGGTCTGCACCTGTCTGTGTTTTGGCTCATGTCCAAGTCGACACCTCCATGAACTCCATCCCAGTCCACCTGTTGTCATTAAGTACTTACTGTTTGCCAGACGTTGTATGTGCCAGGCAAAGAGGCTGGGGGATGAGGTTGCCTCACCCACCCCCAACAGGGCCACTTTCGATTTTGAATCCCTGAGCACCGACCTTGCACCCCTCACTTGGTTCTGACACTGGGCCTTGAATAAATACCATTTGAGTCCTTTTCTCCCTTTGATCCTGAAATATCAGCCCCCTGAGTGTCTTCGTCATCTTGGTGTCCCCTGCAGAACTTTGTTCAGTGGGTTGAGAAGGATCAAGCAGGACTTTTGGATCATAAGCGTCTAGAGATTTTAAAGGGGTCAGTTCAAGACGGAAAACTTCTACTCCACTGTGAAACCCCTTGACAAGAGATTGGAGGTAAGCGTGTCTCCGCACCATTGTTCATGGGCGTGGGCAGCGACCTTTCAGCTTTGAAAAAGTAAAGACAACGAGTACATCAGCTCTCAGTGTCAGCTCCTGTCTGTAAGTCTTAGGAAAAAAAATAAAATACACCCAGAACACCTCCTTCTCCCCCATTTCCAGTCATCTATTGCCAAGGATATTACTTACTTACACGTTTATGACAAAATTCAGTGCTTATGACAGAGAGGTGACTCCTGGATGAACAAACTCTGTAATAAGCTCAAGATATTTGTTTGGGTTTGTTGTAATCCCTAGAAAATATGCATTTTCCTTTCAGCAGCATTCTTTGTTTGGCTTTTCCATGCTTAGTTCTGAGCCTATGCATTTCTAGCCCTTTTGTAATTTTCCAGCATGTTAGATCAGAGTGCCTGCCGTGCAAGAGGCTCTGTATTCTGCATTTGGGGCTATAGAGATGGATGGTCCCTCCCCATAAAGAACTCTTCATCCTGCCTTGTAAATCATAGGTACTCCATAAACTAACCTCTGTAAATTAAATTAAGTGATGTGGCTATAGTTCCCACACTGCACATGAAAATGTTCTTCGTCATTGATATTTTTAAATGAATGTGCATTGCTTTTAAAGCAATTCATGTTCACATATTTTTTTAAATCAGTATTAAAACGCTTATGTGTAAAATAGACTTTTCCCTGCCTCATGCCATAGTCTCACTTCCCAGAAGCAAATACTTTTCATTCTCTTACCTACTTTTGTGTTGTTGTTTTTACTAGCTTATTTCTAAATAATTTGCTTTTACCACTTCCAACTTTACACATTTCCTTCTATACATCTAGTAGTCAGTCAATAACCAGAGTTTACATTGTTCTGGCAAAGTTACTCTTATTTACTGTTAAGCCAAGTAATGTATTGTAATTATGGTTTGGTTTTTTTCCCCCTTGTATGACTTTTTATTTTTCCTGGAGTTGATGGTTGCCTCACTTTTTCCATTTGCTAAGGTTTCTATGCATCTCTCACTAATTTTTTTTTTTTTGCGTGTTCTACCAGAGCTGTCATGCATATCAATAATTTTTCTAACGCAACAAAATTTATCATTTCCAATCCTCCCTCCCCCCATAGCCATTCATCCCGTACCAATGTGGATGGGTTACTGTCTAGACCACTGCACAGCTGTCATCCTGGGACTTCCCCGGTCCTTTCACTGGACATTCCTTTAGCAGCGCTCTTGGATCCCGTGTCTTCTCCTCTGAATGGTAGATAACCTGGAAATAGAATTCTCGGTTGGAAAAAAGTTTCCCTCCAAATTTTTAAATTTAATTTTTCCCATCGTCGTCATCTAGAATCCAACTTGCTGCTAGCATGCTTCTTAATCCTAGATTTTCTCCAAAAGCTTTTAAGATCATCTTTTTTTATCCCTGATGTTTTGAGACTTCACAATTCGGAAAGTGGGGGTGTCACTACTTCCCCCATATCATGACCATTTAGAGCAGCTGCAGGTACTTAGACAAGTATAGTTTCTCCTCCTTTTTCTTTTTGTCGAGTGATGATTTATTGAACGGCCTGTATGTACCAGACACTGTTCTAGGCCCTAGTTGTAGAGCAATGAATAGGACACGCCCTTACTGCCCCTGGGAGCTTACATTCTAATGGCGAGAGACAGACAATAAACATGCATTCAGATAAATAAACAAAAGAATTCTACAGAGTGAGAAGAGTTATTAAGAAAAGAAAGTAGGGGCCGGCCCGGTGGCACAAGCGGTTAAGTGTGTGCGCTCCGCTGTGGCGGCCTGGGTTCGCCGGTTTGGATCCCGGGCACGCACCGACGCACTGCTTGGCAAGCCATGCTGTGGCGGCATCCCATGTAAAGTAGAGGAAGATGGGCACAGATGTTAGCCCAGGGCCAGTCTTCCTCAGCGAAAAAGGAGGAGGATTGGCAGATGTTAACACAGGGCTGATCTCCTCACAAAAAAATTAAAATAAAAAAAAAGAAAAGAAAGTATGGGGCCGGCCTCATGGCTTAGTGGTTAAGAACGCGCGCTCCACTGCTGGCGGCCCGGGTTCGGATCCCAGGCGCGCACCAACGCACCACTTCTCCAGCCATGCTGAGGCCGCGTCCCACATACAGCAACTAGAAGGACGTGCAACTATGACATACAACTATCTACTGGGGCTTTGGGGGAAAAATAAATAAATATAATTATAAAAATAAAAAATAAAAAAATAAAGTAACAGGTAGAGAGCCTGGGCAGGGAACCTGGGGTGCAGGCGGTGTAGATTGGCTGGTCGCCCGGTACACTGGTACAAGATGAATGACTCTGGAGGAAGGGAGAATGCCAATGATAAATTTTGTTATGTTAGAGCGTGTGGAAAAATTATTGACACGTACGACAGCTCTGTTAGAGCATTCAGAAAAAAAAAATAGCAATAGATGCATAGAAACCTTAGCAAATGGATACAGTGAGGCAAGCACTAGCTCCAGGAAAAACAAAAAGTCATACTGAGGAGGGGACATTCTACATGAGACCTGAACGAGGAGACCTGCAAGACGTGTTCTAGGCAGAGAAGTGGCAGGTGCTATGAACGAGATAAACTATTTTCGAGGATCAGTAAAGACCTTCGTGTGCCTGGAACAGAGGGTACAGGTGGGAGAGTGGAGAGGAAGGGAGGCAGGGAGGCAGGAGCAGATCGTGAGAGGGTTCCGAGCCGTGGATGGCCAGGTTCACGTGGTAAGAGGGACATTCTGCAGCCATTTAGAGAGCGCATGGAGATGAGCAAGAAGAAAAGCAGGAAGGCCGGGTGGGAGGTTGTTGCAGTTTCCAGGAGAGACCCTAAGGTGCAGTGACCTCTTCCTGCCTGGTGTCTGCTGTCCAGGACAAGATAAAGGGAAGTGAGTGAGAGGCCGCCCAGCGGGGCCCCTGAGCAGTGGTGGATGTGGCCGGGAGATGCAGTGTTTTTCACGGGACAATCTGAGCAGGGTGTCTCTGCTTCCCTCAGGGCCCGATGGCTGCCAAATCCCAGCCCAACGCTCTCAAGAGTCCAGATGGCGTCGCCAAGGGCAGGGCTGCCCCTCACGGGCAGTGGGGTCGTGCCTGGTAAGGATCTCCCCCATCCTCCCAGCTAGAAAATAGAGTGGACTCTCAGCCAGAGGTGCCAGCCTTTGGGGTTTTATGGACCTATTAAAAAAATTTTCTTTTATCGTGAAGATTGTGAAAGGTAAGCAATATCCCATTTTATAAAGTAAGGAATTAAGAAAATAAGAAGCTAAACACTAAAGGGCAGTTGGTGCCCTAGCTGTAGAGCACATTGCTGTCACGGTTCTCCTTGGGCTGTAGAGTGACGGGGACGTGGTGTGGATGAACGTCCCCCATGGCCCGGAACAGGGAAGCCTCTGGCCTTGTTGGTCACAAATGGGCTTGCTGAATTCATGTTGGGCCCTGGGCTCTCTATGGGCGCCCACACATCAATCAACCTCCTGCTTGATCGTGGTCAAGCAAGCCTGTTGAGTGGCTTCTCGAGCCACGGGGAACGGGGAGGCCTTTGCACTGAGAGCTGGCAGCCTTCTCTCATGAGGTGCTGTCTGCTTTGAACAAGGGCACCTGTACACACAAGCGAAGCATTCTGTTTGGGAGGTCAGAGGGCGGGCAGGCCCCCCGTGACCATCTGCCGTCTTGCACAGGGAGGTGGACTGGTTCTCCTTGGTGAGTGTCGTCTTCCTGCTGCTGTTCGCGCCCTTCATCGTGTACTACTTCGTCATGGTGTGTGACCAGTACAGCTGCTCTCTGACCGCCCCCGTGCTGGACCTGGCCACCGGGCGTGCTAGTCTCTCAGAGATCTGGGCCAAGACGCCACCAGTGACGAAGAAAGCGGCCCAGCTCTACGCCCTGTGGGTCACGTTCCAGGTCAGCCCTCCCGGCCACCGTGGTCGGGGCACAGCGTGGGCAGAGCATCCCCTGTTTCCCCAGGGAAATAGAATCCTGGCTCAGATTGGCATTCTTACTTCCAGGACCCAGCAGGGCATGACCCCGAGCCTGATGTACTTAGCTTCACCTTCAGATAGAGGGCACCCGATGGCGTCGTGGTATCCAACACGCCTTCAGTGTGACCCTCCGCACAGTTCAGGAGCGTGCCCCACCCTGCCGGGACAGGCCGAGTAGGAGGGACCAAGACCCCATAGGAGGGCGTGAGGGCATGGCTGGCCCAGGGAAGCCCCGTACACAGCAGGGGTCTTGCCTTATGGTATCCCCCGAGAAAGAGCATTCCACCCCCAGAGGGACGCTCGGTTACACGAGACACCACTCAGCAAAGGCAAGGCCTGTGTTCCCAGCAGCTGGTCGCACAGTCCTGGTCAAGAACGTCCTGAACTCTGTTGTGACCCCACTGGCCTCCCAGACCAGAGGGAGTTCACCAGGCAGGGGCTGTTTGCACAGTGAACCTGGAGAACAGGTGTTTATCATCTGAACCCAGGATTTTTCCAGGGAAACAGGGGTTTCCTGTCCTGGAGGAAGGCTTCGACCATTTTTAGCTTTTTCTCCCCAGGGTCCCAGCTTTTGGGCTTCAGATTCCTTCTCGTTTCAGATCTCTTGGTCCCTTTGGGTAAAAAGTAGAGAGTAGGAGTAGCACGAGTCACAATAGCCTGAAAGTGGAAACAACCCATATGTCCATCGACAGACAGATGGATACACAAAATGTGGTCCATCCGTGCAGGGGAATATTATTTGGCCGTAAAAAGGGATAAAGTTCTGACATAAGCTGCCACGTGGATGAACCTTGAGAACATGCTGCTAAATGAAAGAAATCAGTTGCACAAGGACAAATCCTGTAGGATTCCATTCATGTCGAGTCCAGAATAGGCAAATCCGTGCAGACAGAAAGTGGGTTAGTGGTTGTCGGGCTAGTGGGGAGGGGGTTGGGGAGTTGATGTTTAATGGGGGCAGAGTTTCAGTTTGGGAGGTGGAAAGTTCTGGAGATGGGTGGCGGTGATGGTTGCACAACATTGTGAATGTGCTTAATGCCACAGAACTGTACACTTCCTCCTGGAGGAATAACCGACCACAGCCAGGATTTCTCAAATACGTACAGTGCCTTCCCATCTGTCGTCTCGGTTAATAAAAGCCAGGCTGTGTCAACACAGCCAGGCCCTCCAGGATACGGGGAATTTACTGGCAGTCTCTGTGTTTCAGGTGCTTTTGTACATGGCGCTTCCTGACTTCTGCCATAAGTTTCTGCCGGGCTACGTGGGCGGCGTTCAGGAGGGCGCCGTGACTCCCGCAGGTGACCTGGAGCCCGGCCGCGGCCTCCCCTTTGCTTCAGGGGGCCTGCGCTCCCCCGCGCTGCTTCCGTCCCGAAGACCTCTCCCTGACAAAGTTAAAAGTTTGCTTGGAAATTTCTACAATACCTGGCCTTGAGACGATCCGGGGCAGCCCAGGACTGTCCCGGATGCGAGGCTGGAGATCAGGTTCTTCAGTAAAGAAGGAACTGAATGGCCCCCGGCCCCTTGGCTGGTTGTCGTAACTGGGCTAATGGAGCATCTCCCCACCAAGAGTGCTTTGCATCCACCGGTGACATCCTGGGCTGGCAGGGGGGCCTTCTGTTTAGGGGGCCTCCATGCTGCCTGGTCCATTCGTTCCCCACAGTCACCGAGACCCCATGAGGAGCCCTCCCACTCCGTCCCTGCCCACACTGAGCTCCCGGTCCAGTGGGGAGGCTGCGGTCTCCCCGACAGGAGCCACGGGGGCATCCTCCCTCTGCTTCTGCTGGAGCTCGGCCCAGACTCTAACAAACTGCAGGCCGGTTACTGAGCCTCTGGTCGGTTGAGGAGAATCAGAGCCAAAGGGATAATCTGTACCCTTTCCCTCTTCCAAGGGCTCAGCCAGCAGGAGCATAGTCCGCGGACTAACAGCGTGAGGTGTGCTACTGGCCATTTGACCCGGGGCCCCGAATCGCAGCAGAAGCTGACCGGCTTTCAGGGCTGCGGTCTGGGTGCCCCGGACAGGGGCCTGAGCAGCTGAGGCTCAGAAAGCATGCAGGGCCTGAGCCACGTGCTGCTACGTGGCGCGGGTCGGGAAAACGCTTCGAGTTCTCCATCTTGCTTCCGCAGGAGTTGTCAACAAGTACCAAGTCAACGGCCTGCAGGCGTGGCTCATCACGCATCTGCTCTGGTTTGCGAACTCGCACCTCCTCTCCTGGTTCTCTCCCACCATCATCTTCGACAACTGGATCCCGCTGCTCTGGTGTGCCAACATCCTCGGCTATGCCGTGTCCACGTTCGTCATGGTCAAGGCCTACCTCTTCCCCACCAGTGCTGAAGACTGGTACGTGCTGCGACAGCCGGTCAAGCCTCAGGGGGAAGGAGGACGCTCTCACTCCTTGCCTTTTTCTATGACCTTGGGATGGGAGGTTGTGAAGCCCTCAGGATTGAGAATCCTTGAAGGAGGAGCTTAATGGAACTTGTTTGACTCTGGGGAACACCCTGCCTTAGGAAGAATACAGCTGAAGATGGCCACGTCCATCTTTGGTGGCCGAGTTATACCTGTAGGGCTGTCAGAGGAGCAGGGAGGCGGGACAGGCAACTTCTGGCCAGGGGCAAAGGCAGCCCATTGCCTCTTTTTCTGGAGCATCGGTGTGGCCTGACACAGTCTTAGTGAGGAATTTTGTATCTCAGTGGCTTTAATGTAACAGCGTCCCAGGGAGAGCCCTACTGGTTGGTGCCCATTCTCATGGAAGCCTTAAGTTGAACAGTTGTGAGCCATCCATCCATACATCAACTCACCCATGCACTCATCTATCCATCCACCCAGCCATCCACCTATACCCATCTACCCACCCATCCATCCACCCCCCAACCCATCCATCCATCTGCCCATCCATCCATCTATCCACCCACCCATGTACCCACCCATCCAATCCGTCCATCCATCTATCCATCCACCCATCCATCCATCCATCCATGCGTTCACCCACCAATCCATCCATCCATCCATCCACCCACCCACCCACCCACCTACCCATTCATCCATCCACCAATCCATGTATCCATCCACCCATCTATCTATTCATCCATTTACCATCCCCCATCCTTCATCCCTCCCTCCATCCATCCATTCATCAACAGACATTTGTTGGTTTCCTCCTGTAGACAGGTGTAGGCAGTGGGGCTTTAGGTAAGAACAAGTTTCTTGTTCTTGGGGTGCTTACATTTTAGTGTGAACACCCAAATAAAAACAAAGTGTGTTTCCTTTCTCTGTCACACCGAGGCTCTTAGGAAGTGTCTTTGGATGATGGTGCTCTGGGCTTATGTGATTATCACATCACGAGGCTGGTCTTCTATGGCTCGTGGGAATCATTCTCACTGTTTTATAATCACTTCACCTATTGTAGACTTCGGATATTTTGCTTCTATGTATCCTAACCGAGGGAAATGGACCAAAAGATATGTTTTTCTAATCACACAGAAATCCCTATGCGTATACAACAGCAAGTTACACCTAACAAGGGTCTCCAGTGGGTTATCCTGGCTGATTCTCCGGTCACCCCTGGAGGGGGCTGTGGGGTCAGGTGACCAACTGGGCAGCGAATGGTTCAGGAACTTGTCCAGCAAGCGGTGGACGTGGGCCCTGGAGCCAGGCACCTGGTGCTTTTTTTCACTCTCTACCTTGGCACCATTTATAACTTCACACGCCCACGGGAGGCTCAAACGCCCTGGGACTCCACCTCAGGGTAAAAATCTTTGTGCAGTCGAGCCAGTTTCGCGGTCACCTGTACCTGTCTCAAGGGAACCTGGACGAGGCTGGGGAGAAACCTGGGTGTCGGCCAAGGAACTCTGAAGCACGGCTACAGTCTCCCCACCTTCCCAGGAGCAGAGCGAGCAGCCCACATACTTCCTTCTAAGGGTGTCTCTGTTGAGCCGCAGCTGAACACAGAGCGAAAGTCCATGAGGCTGCGGAGAAGCGGGGAGGACGGACGCGTCCTGCTTGCTCGGTTCTCTGCAGCTCGGTCACCTCATTTGAGCCTGCAGCACCCTGGGCTGGGCTGAGCGCCTGGATCCATGCCAGCAAAACAGGCCACGTGTTGTGAGCTGCACTCACTCACTAAACGCATCTTTTATTTCTATTTTTAAGCAAATTCACAGGCAATTTCTTCTACAACTACATGATGGGCGTGGAGTTTAACCCCCGAATTGGAAAGTGGTTTGACTTCAAGCTGTTCTTCAATGGACGCCCTGGGATCGTCGCCTGGACCCTCATCAACCTGTCCTTTGCAGCCAAGCAGCAGGAGCTCTACGGCCAAGTGACCAACTCCATGGTCTTGGTCAACGTCCTGCAGGTAGCCTGTCGATGGCCAAAGCGGGTGGAAGCTCTGACACCTGCTGGGCGCTGGGAAAACCCGAAAGCCAGATAGTTTTCGAAAGACCGTAATCCACCTCTTTTGGAAGGCAGTGGGCCCCCTCCCTCGGATTTCTGGGGATGGGCCAGCGAGCACACAGTGAGAGTTCTGTCCGTGAGTGCAGGCGCTGCGCTGGCCCTGGGGACTCGTGCGGCCCACGGCCTCTTTCCCAGGGAATGCCTGTTAATGGCTCAAGCATGTCTCTGGTCCTGGCAACGGCGTTCTGACGGCTCTGGAAGGACCTTGGCTCACGGTCCTGGCCATGTTCCCAGTTTATGGCCTCCGAAGCGTTTTCCCTACATGGTCCCTGTGGGTGTCAGGCAACCCCCTTGGGGCGGGGAAGGAGGAGCAGTGATTCATTTTCACCTTTGGCCCATTTCTGTAAATGGACGTCAGTCTCCTCCACCCCCACAAGGCCCAGCAGTCGCTCAGCCATGCAGGGCACACACGCGCTGGGACACTCACCCCCTGGGCAAAGGGCTTCCGTGCTGGCTTGGACCCTGGCCCACGATGCCTCGTCCCCCATGGGCCGTCCCGAGCCCTTCCACCCTGGGCGATCTCTCTCTGCTCCGAGCTCCGCAGCCTGGGGTGTGACCTCCCAGCAGTGCCCCTTTCGGTCATCATTTGGGGGCTGCCCTTGTTGTCTCAGAGCAGACTCTCTGAGGACAAGGATTCTTTGTCCCCACTCCGTCCCCCATGTCCCAGGCATGGCAGGAAGCGCAGGACCAGCCCAATGGTGCATGTCACCAAAGGAGGTCTGTGGCACGCAGGTGCCACCTCCTCGTCGAACGTGTGGCTTTCCCAAGGGCCCCACCAGTGCCCCGTGGTTGGTACACGCTGCTCCTGCCTTGCAGGCCATCTACGTGCTGGACTTCTTCTGGAACGAGACCTGGTACCTGAAAACCATTGACATCTGCCACGACCACTTCGGGTGGTACTTGGGCTGGGGGGACTGCGTCTGGCTGCCATACCTGTACACACTGCAGGTAAGGTTAGCAGGGACGGTGAGCCCCTCCGGGACACGGGGCCTGGCTCAGCAGGGCGTTTGGCTCTTGGGTCCCCAGGCATGCCCCGGGCTGCCCACCGAGCAGACACAGCTGAGCACGTGCTAAGCTTCGCTCCTTGCACAACTGTCTGTCCTTGGGGGACACCAGACGCTGGAGAAGGGAGGCTGCCCCTGTGTCCAGGAAGAAGGGAAGGCTCAGTGTATCTATCATCTTGTGCTGCCATAACAAAGTCCTATAGACTGGCGGCTCAAGTAACAGGACTTAATTGTCCCCCAGTCCTGGAGGCTGGACGTCCGAGATCCAGGTGTGGGCAGGGCTGGTTCCTCCTGAGGCCTCTCTCCCTGGTGTGTAGACGGCCGTCTCCTCCCTGTGTCCTCACGTGGTCGTCCTTCTGTGTGTGTCTGTGTCCTGATCCCCTCTTCTCATAAGGACACCGGTCATGTTGGATTAGGGCCCACCCTAGTGACCCCATTTTACCTTAATTACCTCTTTAAAGGCCTTATTTCCAAATGCAGTCAAATTATAAGGTGCTGGGGGTTAGGATTTCAGCATATAGATTTTGGGGGACACAATTCAGCCCGTAACACTTAAAGAAGAAGATGATACAGAGTAGACTTTGGGTAAAAAGGAATGATTTGGTGGAGGGGGTATTTATATTCATGTTTATCCAAATCTTAATGCTTAAAGGATAAGAGGCCTTCTTTCTTATGTTTATTTCTTCCTTCAGTATTTTGTGGGGGTCTGTGCGGCACGAGGCACGTGCTGAGAGGCAAGAGAAGGAGACGCGGGTGGGCCCTGCCCTCAGAGCTCCTGGTCGGCGGGAAAGGCTGTGAAACAGGCAGCCCAGTGCGGGGAGGGGGTGCTTGACAGGAAGTGGGGGTGCTGACCCCTGAGAGAGGGCTGAAGAGGGGCCACCAACCTGTAGCTGGGGGTCAGCAAAAGCATCCAGAGGCAACCACAGCCACGCCTAGGGCAGAATGATGAGGCTGGGGGTAAGAACATTCCAGCAAGGTAGAATGGCATGTGCAAAGTCTTCTTGGTGAGAGAACATTTCAGGGCAGGGGGGCTTTTAAGGCACAAAACAGTCCCGTATGGCTGGGACACAAGACGTGAGGGACGGCAGGAAGAATTGTCAGACTGGAGAATCCAGCAAAGCTTAGCACCAGTTGAGCAGGATTTGATGGACAAGGTGTCCGGGGGGATGGGAGGCCTGGAGAGCAGAGCGTTCTGGGTGAGGGGAGGACAGGGGCAGGGCTCCGAGGGAGAAGTCGTCGAGCCGTGAGTAACGAAACAGGCTGACCCAGGCTGGAGTCCTCCAGAGAGCCTTGGCACACGGAGTCGAGGCGTGGAAACGCTGGCCTGGGGAGCCTGAGGGACCTGGGTTTGCACCTCTGTAGGGCCACCAGCCAGGGGAGGGGGCCTTGAGCAGGTCCCCGAGCATCTCTGACAAATGAGGGCAGACACTGCTGCAGTTGGGCTGGGCAAAGCCATGGAGGTGCGCATGCCCAGTGATTGGCAGCTGGCACCCTGCCACGGGCTACGCGGCACACACAGCTGCCTCGGGGTTTCTGAGGCAGTTGGGGGAAGGGAGAGGCCTCATCCTCAGGCCTCCCAGGCCCTCCCAGCTCTCACGAGAGCGGCCCTGCTTTCACCTGTGTGTGGGGGCTGCCCGAAAGGCCTGGCCACATGCCGCCTGCTCGTTGCATAGGTGAGTGACGAGTTCTGGGGACAGAGGGAGAACATGTTCTCCGGCACCCTGTGTAGTTAGCAGCGAGCTGGGGTGCCTGCCTTATCAGGTCATGCAAGAATGGAGAGGACAAGAGTGGAGGGACTTCGTAGGCTGTACAGGACACGCCCTGGCGAGGCGGGAACGAGCTACAGCTGGTCCTGCGGGTGATAAGGACGAGGCTGATGTTAGCCGGCTGGTCCGTGCGGCGTCCCGAAGCAAGGGCCCTGGGAAAGCAGGAAAGTCACAGCAGAGCGAGCGTGGTTGAAGGAAAGAGCTCTGCACCGGAGACCAGAAGTTCTGAACTCCAGTCCACACATGGGAGGATCCTCTGGACCCATTTCTCCACCTAGCTGGTTGCAGGCTCACTGATTCTGTGAAATCCATTTTCCAGGCATGCAAACAGCAGCAACAGATTAGATAGGTAGATAGATAGATAGATAGATAGATAGATAGATAGATAGATAGATAGATAGATAATCTCTTACTATGTACCAGGCCTTGCCTTGTTTTGGCCTCTGAGTATATGTTAAGTGTAAATATATATATATTTCATATTATATTTTTATTAGGGTTCTCCAGAGACAGAATCAGTAGGATGTATGAATTTTATATATACTCACACACACACGCATACATATACATGCGTATACAGTCGTGCACCACGTAGCAATGCTTCAGTCAACGACAGACTGCATATACAGCAGCGGTCCCCTAAGATTAGTACCATACAGCCTAGGTGTGTAGTAGGCCATACCATCTAGGTTTGTGTAAGTGCACTCTAGGATGTTCCCACAGCGACAAAATCACCTAATGTTGCACGTCTCAGAATGTATCCCCGTCATTAAGCGACGCATGACTATGTATGTATGTATGTATGTGTGTGTATATGTGTGATTGTGGTCCTGGCAAGTCCAAAATCTTCAAGGCAAGCCAGCAGGCTGGAGGTCCAGGGAAGAGTTGATGTTGCAGCTGGGTCTGAAGGCCGTCTGCTGGTGGAATCCACTCTTGTTCCAGAGAGATGTGCCTATTTTCAACTGATTAGATGAGGCCCACCTACGTTATGGAGGGTGATCTGCTTTGCTCAGTCTACTGATTGGAAATGTGAATCACATCTAAAAAATACCTTCGTAACAACTAGACTCGTGTTTGACCGAATATCTGGGTACCGTGGCCTAGCCAAGGTGACATAAAATTACCATCACAATATTATATTCAAATGATACCTTTTATATTGTTATATGTTTTATATTTATAGTATATATGATATATATGTATGTAGCTAGATAGGAAGGTGGGTAGGTAGGTAGGTAGATACACAATTTTGTATATTTACTCATTTGATCCCCACAACAAGCCTCTGAAGCAAGTGCTTTTATTTACAGAAGAGGAAACCGAGGCACGACGGGGGTAGGCAGCTAGTCAGGGGCAGAGCCAGGGTTTGAACCCAGGCCGCGTTCCCAAGCCCACATTCGCGCCCGCTCCCTGGACGAGGCCGCGCTTGACCTCCTCCCTCTCGCCCTCAGGGTCTGTACCTGGTCTACCACCCCGTGCAGCTGTCCACCCCCCACGCCATGGGCGTCCTGCTGCTGGGCCTGCTCGGTTACTACATCTTCCGGATGGCCAACCATCAGAAGGACCTGTTCCGCCGCACGGACGGGCGCTGCCTCATCTGGGGCAGGAAGCCCAGGGTCATCGAGTGTTCGTACACGTCGGCGGACGGGCAGAAACACCACAGCAAGCTGCTAGTGTCTGGCTTCTGGGGCGTGGCCCGCCACTTCAACTACACGGGGGACCTGATGGGCAGCCTGGCCTACTGCCTGGCCTGCGGCGGGGGCCACCTCCTGCCCTACTTCTACGTCATCTACATGACCATCCTGCTGACCCACCGCTGCCTCCGTGACGAGCACCGCTGCGCCAGCAAGTACGGCAGCGACTGGGAGCGCTACACCGCCGCCGTGCCTTACCGCCTGCTGCCGGGAATCTTCTAGGGGACCTGCCCGGGAGAAACCCCCTGAGGGGCTGTGAAGAGCACTTGGAGCTGGGTCTATAGGGGCTGACGTCCCAGCCCCACCTTCTAGGAGCCTCAGTTTCCTCATCTGTAAAATGGAGAGAGCCTGGCACTTGGCGGGCATCTCGTAAATGGGAGCGTACTCTCCTTTCCCCTCCTTTTGAGGGGAATTCTGAGGGTTTACACCAACTGCCTTCTCACCAGCAGAAATGACCAGTTTCTCTATTCAGTGATCCAAGAGTAGGAGGGTGACCTGGTCACCTGTGATAACCCCCCGACGGCGGTTCTCTGTGTTGGGAGACCGAGCGGCTTCGCTGCCTAGAGAGACCGGCATCTCACGCTGAGCGTCTGCCAGCTCCTCTGATCAGGACGGTGCTTCTTCTTGCTGGATAAAATGGAAGGGGATATGTAAGGTGTGCCAGGTATCAATTTATTGCCTTTCAGCCCCAGATCCACCCTTCATGACCGCGATAGTGAGCCGGGCTCCTCGAACAGTTCTCCTTTGCAGCATGCGCAGTGTTCAATTTGTCGGTAGAGGGCGCTGAGGGACGCTGTACGAGGAAGGGGCTTTAGTTCTGGTACATCCACAAACTCTGGCTCAGGTGACCCAGAGGACTTGTCCACCGTTCCAGGAGCCTCACCGTCTTCTCCAATGAGATCTGAATCCCAGCCTTGGGGAGGGTACCCCCTTACCTTAGGCACTCTCCCCCAACCCTAGGATATTCCTGAAAGCTCTCTTTAGACATTTCTGCCCTAGTAGGGTCAATAATTCTTGATAATAAACTTTGCCTGTTCAAACTTCTGTGTGGTTTCTATCTCCGGATTGGGCCTGGCCATACATATAAGGGCTCGATTTCTGGATATAGAAGGGCTGCCCGGGAAACATTGGGCCGGATGTTCGGGGGCTGCCTCAGAGCCTTGGGTACCCGCCAGAGGGATTCGGGGGGTGGCGCCGCCTCCCCCAGTGTCGGCCCTTTGTTGGGGCTCTTCTTGTGCTGGGTGTGGGAGTCTATTCCATTTGCCAAAGGAAGAATCCCAGCTTGGCCGCCTGCCCCCCAGCAGGCGGACAGAGATGCCAGAAAGCTGGTGCCAGGGTTGCCTGATGCCTGGAGAAACCGAAGCTGTGAACAAGCTGTGAGCCTGGTGGGCAGGGAGGGGAGGTGCAGGGCGGCGCCTCCTCTGCTCCAAGTTAGAACCGGTTGAACAAAGACAGGCGGCCTCCTACAAACAGCCTGGAGGGGTCAGAGCTGGGGCCCCACACGGGCCCACAAGGGCCAACTTTACAGCATAGCTTTCCAGTGTCGGTGCCCCACCCTGCCCATTCCAGCTCATTTGCCTGAAGGAGTCCCAGGCATCTGAATGTCTCACAAGCCACAGGAACAATTAGAATGCCAGCCAGACTAGTGAACCGCCACCCTGGATGGCCTGGAGTGAAGTGTACCCCTTCCTTTCCTCCCAGACAGAATTCATTTGGAGGCTGACGTGCGGTGGCTGTGAGCTCGGATCCTGGGTCCACCGCGTAACAGCTGTGTGACCTGGAGCAGGTGCGTTACCCTCTCTGCACCTCAGCTTCCGGGTTTGAAAAATAAGGGTAATTATTATTTTCCTGCCTTGCTGTGAGAAGGGCTTCTCACGCTGATTTTTCAGGAGAGCTCTAGGTTCAAATCTTGGACCTGCCTCTGGCAGCTAGCCGAGTTTTGTTTGTGTTAGTTTCTCTGAGCTGGGCTGTAGTTTGATCTCTCGTGCAGTGTGCTCAGCAAACACAAGCCCAGTCTCTGCTCCCCCTGGCTCACTCCCCTTTGCATGTGGATGAAGCCCAGCCCCTCCTCTGCAGACAAGGATAGGGCCAGCCCAGGAGCCTCACCTTCGTGCACCAGACAGGCCTCTGTCAGTCACTGGTTACAAAGTACATTGAGTTCTCAGTGAAGCCACAGCCCCTGGACCTCTGGGAAGACGGCCAGGCCTTCTGCCTCCTCCCCAAGGAAAGGGCTGCTTGGACCCTCACAGCCAGGGCAGGCTGGACCGTGCTCCGGAGGCCTGGTACCGAGAGACAGCAGAGACTCTGTGGGGGCAGAGAGGTGGGGATGGCGTCTGCTCTGGAAACGGCTCTGTAGTGTAAACCCTGTTTCCAACACTGCTGTAAAGCCTTTCATGTGGCCCGCCCTGGCTCCATGGCACAGCCTCTCTAGTTATTAAACAAGTGTTTACACAGCACCCTTGAGACCGAGCTCCAGAGAGAGGGCGTTCAGGGCACCAACTCTGGCACCGGATAGAATTGAATCCCGGCTCTGCAGTTCATTAGCCTGTGTCAACTTAAAAGCACATTCACCTGTTATTTTATCCTCAAAACAACTTTATTCGGGACTAGCCAAAAGAATTGCAATTCAGGATGTGCATGCTATGGCAAACCATAGGCAAATCCACAGAACGAAGGAGGGAGCTGCTCTTATAGAGAAAAAGGGGGAGAGGGAGGGGCTGTTCTAAATGAAAGTCCATTGGAGGAAAGTGACAGTTCAGGGCAGCAATGGCTTCTCATTGGCTGAGCTGCAGCATTTCTCATTGGCTGAGCTGTGGGGCTTCTCATCGGCTGAGCTGCAGCATTTCTCATTGGCTGAGCTGTGGGGCTTCTCATTGGCTGAGCTGTGGCATTTCTCATTGGCTGAGCTGCAGGGCTTCTCATTGGTCGAGCTGTGGCATTTCTCATTGGCTGAGCTGTTGCCGGGTGGAAGGAGAAATCTTCCTTCAGCCGTAAAGTAGTCGTACTCCCATCCAGGATGCAAACCTCTGTCTCTTCCTGTTTGGTGTAATTAATGATGTGTGGTGTAGGTGAGAGCTCCCCCTGCAGGCCTTCCGGATCCCAGTTTAATTAAGGTTTCTTTTATTAATTTCCACAGCTGTAACCTTGGGCAAGTCCCACTATCAATCTCCACCTGTAAAATGGGGGTGATAATAAAAGTACTTACGACTCGGGGTTATGGTGAGGATATACAGTATATGGAAAGTTCTTACAACAGCGCCCGGCACACAGCAGGAGCTGTACAAGTCAGCAGCTGACATGCAACAGTGTTCTGGGGGTTGGGGATACATCAGGGGACAAAATAATTAGAAATTTACCCTTGCTGAGCTGGTATTCTAGTGGGAGAGACATAAACAAAATAAGGTGGTAATTTATATTCTGTGTCTGGAGTGTAAGTACTACGAAGAAAAAGAAGGCAGGGAGTCCTGGGATGAGTGTGTCGGGAAGCCCTCACTGCAAAGGTGATATTTCAGCAAAGTCTTGAAGGTCTCTGAGGGAGCCACACAGATGTCAGGGAGAAGAGGGCTCCAGGCAGAGGATACATCCCATGCAAAGGCCCTGAGGTGGGAGAGTGCCTGGGGCCTTGGAGGACCAGCGAGACAGCCAGCATGACTATTGCTGAGTAAAAATGGGAGAAAGTGGCGAGAGAGGGCAGGGCAAATCTTAAGCCCTTGAAACGACCTTGGCTTTTATTCTGAGGGCGCTGAGAAGCCCTGGGAAAGTACTGAGCAGAGCAGTGACGTGATCTGACTTATGTGTTAACAAGACAAGTCTGGTGGTTGTGCTAAGACCAGGCTGGGCGGGTGAGGCAAGAGGCAGGAGACCAGTGCTGGGACTACGTTTGCAATAATCCTGCAGTTGAGAGGGTGATGGCTGGGACTGGAAGTGGTGGGAAGGGGTAGGTCCTGGATGCATTCTGCAGGGAGAGCCTGCAGTACTTCCCTCCCATCGGATGTCGGGTGAGAGAGAAGGGAGTCAGGGATGGTTCCATGTTTGGGTCTGAGCAACTGCAAGTACGAACGTGCCATCACCTGAGAGCAGATTCTGAGGGGGACATCAGGAGCTGCTGACATGTGAAGTTTAAGACATCTTTCAGACACCCGAGTGAGATGCAGAGGAGACCTCCTCCCGCGGAGGAGGACGTATGGACGGCTTTCAGGCCAGACAGGTGTCAGAGGTGGGCTTGTGGAATTACCAGTGTTTGTGGAGGATTTAAGGCCCTGAGACAGGTGAGGTTACCTTCAGAACCGTGAAGAATACATTTCTGTTGTGTAAGCCACGCAGTCTATGGTATTTTTGTTATAGCAGCCCAAACTGACTAAGACAAATGGAATGCCACTCAGCAATAAAAAGGACTAACCATGGATCCATGTGACAACTTGGATGAATCTTGAGGGAATTCTGTTGAGTGAGAGAACAAATTCCAAAAGGTTACATACTGTGTCATAACCTAGGAAAAAGGGGCTCGTTCTGCTTGCCACAATCTAGTGCCAATCAATTTGAAATAAGCTGGTGGTTGAAAAAGGAAAGTTTATATGATTAGCTAGCATAATCGGAAGATGGCAGACTAGTATCATAGAGAGCCATCTTAAAATCGTACAGAATCTTGAGACATTCAAGGGATGTTGACCATCCAGTGTAAGGAACTTCAAGGCACCACATTATCTCTTTCTTCTGACGTTTGTGATGGGTACCAACACAGAGTTTTTCTTTCTGCAGGTCATCAGGTTCCTGGGTAATTCAGAGAACAAAGTTATCATCTTATCACAGCTGAGAGATATACGTAAGCAAGAGTCACAGAACTAGCAGAGCATGTATTTTGCAAAAGTGAGAGGTGCTTAATCATCTAGGCTACATGCAGGCAGGATTCCATTCTTAGAAACTGGTGAGTCAGGATCATAGTTACAATATTGCTTCCTTTTCCCAAATGGCTTCCCTCAGGCTAACCTAAGATCTAGCTATTACAGTATGATTCCATCTCTATAGAATTCTTGAAATAAAATTATGGAACTGCAGAACCGATTAGTGGTTACCAGGAGTTGGGACGGGGCAGGGGTGATTCTAAAATAGCAAGATGAGGGATCCTCGCGGTGATGGAATGTTCTGTAGCTCCACGGTGGTGGCGGATACACAAACCTGCACGTGACAAAATCACATAGAATTACATGCATGCACTCACACACGTGTACAAG